CATAATCCTAACTAGACATTGATAACTTTATTGGTGCTATTTTCATCTGGTGGTGCCAGCTCTAGTGGTTTCTTTGCACATGCTATCAGAAACAAATTACATGGAATTGGTAAACTGGAACTTCCACAATCATCATCCAGTTTATGATGTCAGAGCTCATTCTCCAAAGCTCTGCCATTCTCACTGTAGTGCCTACAAAACTGTTGTGTCTCAACCATCCTATAGGCCAGGGGTGTCAAATTGCCGGCCCACGGGCCGGATCGATCACACAGAAGCCGCACCCACCCCATTGCTGGCAATGGCAAAACTGTCCCAATATGTTGCGCAATGTCACGTGACATCGCGAGTTTGACTTGTCTGCTATAGGCCTATAGGAGAGGAAGGATGTAGCATAGCTGAGATTATTGAAAGCTACTCACAAGAATCAAGCCCAGTTCATTTGAACCATCTGTTTAAACCTCCTCCTACAAAAATGATATTGATAACTTCATGAAAAAAGGCTTTACCATGGTCATGTTTTCTTATACCATATAACTTGCTCAATGAAAATCAAGGAGTGAAAACAGCCTGAAAACTGGATTCAGTTCTTTATCTCCGATCTGTCATGACCTTCTAGAAACCTGTAAAAACTTGCCTCTCCTAAAAGGCTTTTGGAGATAAATCAGAGTGGAGCCACCAGCAGAATAGTTTTATAACTAGTTGTTTGCATGCATTTGTAATATAACACACCTTATATATTGATATCTTTCTCACTTTTTTTTTCTTTCCTACAGTTTTATCATAAGTGCAAGGTCTGCTTGTTTTCAGATCAACCAAATGTTGATCCACTGGAATTGACTAACAGCTTGTCACCCAACCTGGGCTGAAGGAGAGTGATTGACACAAAGTCACCAGGAAGCTTTCATGCCTCAGGTGGGGCTAGAATTCCTGGTTTCTAGTCTGATGTCTTAACCACTATATCAAATTGGCTCTCAGATAAATTGATATAATGCTTTATTAATTTTGTATACTGTGCATTGTCAAGAGTCCTTTCCTGTGAGACAATTAAATAAGTGCCTTTAATAAATCAACTCTATAATTTGGTTGCACTCTTTGCCAACCCTTATTCTCACAAAGTTTTTGTGTTGGCTCTGGATCTAACAAGCATGGTAACCATTAAAAATTGACACAGGCCAGACTTTTCCATCAAATCAGGAATCTGAAAGCCTCTTTGAAGACCTCTGTCTGTGCCTTTCCTACTCTCCTTGAAAACTCAGCTTTTTATTTGATCATCTATAATAAAACCATAATAAAAGCAAAGCTGCACAACTTTCTCAACTTAATAACCCTTTCACTTTTCCTAAACTTCCCATTTCCCTAGTACAGGGGTAGGCAACCTTGGCTCTTTTATGACTCATGGACTTCAACTGACTCAGGAATTCTGGGAGTTGAAGTCCATGAGTCATAAAAGACCCGAGGTTGCCTACCCCTACCCCAGTAGTTCAACTAGAGTCAAATTAACCTCTTTACCAACTTTTGCTTAAACTGTTTATACTTCCTGTCAAGTTCATATAACCATTCAACCCTCAATGTGCCATACTCGGCCTCCTGCTTAGCTCTTAATTGCTCTCTCTGATTTATCCTGTTCTATGCTTTTGATTTGCATGTTAAGCTTTGTCCTACATGAACAAACTGACTTTATAAGAAAACACATCAATTTCTCTATTTCAGTGTGTGCCTCTATGTGTCATATTGATGCATTGTTTATTTGTTTCTGAAGAACTCCTATGTGTGATTATTGATTGAATTCACCAAGACATTGCTTAATAAGCTTGCATCATGACATTTAGCCAGATATGATAATAAATGGCTATGGGTGGGAGAGTTCTTCATTTAAATAGCATTTTAGGTTAACTAGTTGCTTTCAGGTCTATTGTCAACGCTGCTAATATTGAATATTCTTGCTTTGACGAAATATGCAGAACTGTCTGGCACTTTTAGAGTTAACTCAGATGAGAATGGAGAGAGAGAGAGCAATTCATGAGGGCTTCAGAAGGAAGTGAACCTTTGTCCCCCAGGGTGGTTGGAGAACATGACTCATGACAGCAAAAGAGGGAGGGAAAATGCTAGCAAAATTACGGTACCTGCTTTAGGGTGGAGACTTTAGATCTTGGCATCTATATCTACAGTATATTACAACAGTGTTTTAATGCTAAAGGCCTACATTACAGGGCTGCAATAAATGTCATAAAATAAAGTATGTAAAATATGTTGTATGTTAGGGTGGCACCATCTAAATCAGTGTTTCTCAACCTTGACAATTTTAAGGCATGTGGACTTCAATTCCCAGAATTCTGGGAGTTGAAGTCCACATGCCTTAAAATTGTCAAGGTTGAGAAACACTGATCTAAATAGTCAATATTTTTATTCTATACCTTTTTTCATCCACACAATAACAGTAGCTATCTGGGACTCTTATTCTCCAACCCACACATTATTTTGAAAGGAGAAACACTATTATCGGTCAACTTTCTTTACCTTTTTGCAGTGTACTATATTTGTGTTAAACTGCAGGTTAAGATTACTCAGTGATTTATATTTTACTTGAACACCCACATAACTATGTAAACCAAGCAATGGTGGGATTCAGCCAGTTCGCATCAGTTCGACAGAACCGGTAGCTAATTTTTTGTTGCCCAGGCCCAGAATGGACGTCCGGAAGCAGCATCCACACAGAGAACCGGTTGTTCACATATCTGAATCCCATCACTGAAACCAAGACATTTGTGTAAATATATTTTCCAAAGCAAACAGAGTCACTTTAGATAGAGCAAGAAAAACAAAGATAACATTGTTATATAATGTGGCCCCCTTTAAATTAACTGGAAAGTAAAAATGGAATTTACTGAGCTAATGCTGATACCAAAAAGCACATTAATTATAGTTAGGAACTATCTAGATCCTTCACCCATTTTTTTATCTTCCAAACAAGAATTCCATATTGCCCTTTATAACATTTGCTGATAAAAAAAAATCCAATGTTTAATACATTATCATGATGATTCTGATTAAAAGATGAATAGCTAAGAGCCACCAAATGCACAATGCAAGGCTATTTCTAATTGTAACAGGAGTCTGCAGAAAATCAGTCTATCAAATATGTGATCTGTTTCTAGAAAGGTTTATTTACAAAAAAAAACATGTCAGCTGAGCAATATACTAAAAAGAAATCCTGGATCTTAATGCAAATTTAATCTCATGCCTGAATGAAAATCTGCAACAAAGTTAGTTTTGTGCAACAAAATATACTCTCATTTCCTCTAAAGAACTCATGCCATAAAAACAAAAGGCCTTTTTATTTATTTATTTTTTTTAAACAATGTCTTATTTGGTATATATTTCCAACAGGCATATAGATTATATTGGTTCTTTCTTCTACCCTACATAACATCTGCATATGAATCATTAGGGACATTATCCATTAGCTCAAGGTGAGGCATCATCAATAGTCTGATGATATTCACTTGTACATCTCTACTCTGAACCCAGTAGGAGTTATAATAGAAAGACTGACTTGGTGCCTAAAAGCTGTCAGAGTCTAGATGGAAAAAAGAGTTAAACACAACACAGACAAGATAGAATGACTATTAGATGAGAAGCCTATTCATTCCAAGACAATACCAAGTTCAAATAACAGGTTTATAGTTGGAGAGGGGAAGACTCCTAGACTCATGGCTTGAAAAAGACATAAAATTATGGTCAGGGGGGCCTTTGCCCATTTTAGCTAGTGCGTCTAATGTAGTCTTACTCTGAGAACAGTCACTCAGACATTATCATCTGTTGGGTGAATTAATGGAATTGGCTTTAACAAGACTTCTAGCACTGAGGACTATTCTGAAACCTTATCTGGTCCACAATACAATGACCCGCAAATTTATTGACCCATCATGATACTGCAACAGTACACACTTTTGCTGGTTCTGCATTGGTTATTGGTAAGTTTGCAAGCACAAATAGGTCAGGACCTGGGTATTTCAGAGATCACATTTCTTATATGGTTTCTGTCTGTCCACTCCTATAGCCAGGGAGAATTTACTAAAGCTCCTAGTTAGGATAGAAATTATGGTGTGGGATGGGGATGTAGGTAATAGCAGGTATTCTTTGTTGTATAGCTCTCCTATGGAACAGTCCCTCACACCACCACCATTCCTCCAACAAAGATGGCCTCTTCTCTGTTGCCATCCCAGAAGCTAGTAAAAACCTGGTTCTTTTCTAAATCTGGGAAAATACCTATGGAGCCATCAGTGTCTATATTAATGTACTAAGAAACCTGTAGTTATGAATCAGTTGACAAAGAGATTGCTGCATTCAATAACTTTGTTTAAAAATCTTATTTATGCATTTAAGGAATGTATCCCTTTCTCAAGATGGAGAGACACTATGTGATTTACCTATGTTAAAAACATAATAAAACCATAAAAAGGTAAAAGTAAAGGTAAACACGGGGCTTTTTTTTCTCATAGAACGCCCAGAACAGAGTTCCGGCACCTTTTTGGGATGGAACCTTGTAGGGTAGGCAAGGCGGGTTGTATGACATGTGTGAGTTCCGGCACCTTTTTTTTTTTTTTTTAGAAAAAAAGCACTGGGTAAACAAGATTTTTAAATAAAGTTATTGAATGCAGCAACCTTTTAGCTGATTCATATATGGCTCTCAACATCCAAAAGAAAACCACAAGGATGTCAAAAAGATGATACTTATATAATGGCACTATTGTGCATGTCCCACAGTGACATACTTGCCCCATAATTTCACACACACACGTATGCATATATGCATTTGCCTGATGACATCTTACCCCCTTTGTTCCCATGTGGAGACCCATGAGACCCATGATACTAAAAATCTCCAATGGAAAAATAAAGTAAAATAAATAAAAAGAGAAGAAAGAAAAGCAAGAGTTGTATATGAATGAAGAGGTTGTATTATTCACTGTTAAACATTAGATAAGTATTTGCTTTACCTTGAAAGAGAAATGCTTTGCTGGTGTTATGTAGTCCAGACACCTGTGTAACTCCGATAGTCATGTTGACAAGATCCAATTCTTTGATAATATCAATCTGTAAGCTAGGGTCCATTCCAAGGCCAACAACTAGGAGACAAAAGATGCATTTTAGCTTAAGTGCAATAGCTAAAGATACCATACAATCATGTACACTGAGGTATTCAAATTTTGTTCTATAAGTAACAAAAAAATTATTTATTTATAAAATGTATTCATTTATTTATTTATAAAATTTATTTGCCACCCATCTTACAGTATATAGCGCTTAGCACTTAGACTTATATACCGTTTCACAGTGCTGTACAGCCCTCTCTAAGCAGTTCACAGAGTCAGCATATTGCCCCCAACAATCTGGGTCCTCATTTTACTGACCTCAGAAGGATGGAAGGCTGAGTCAACCTTGAGCCGGTCAGGACTGAACTGCTGCTGGGTAGAGTTATCCTGCCATACTGCATTCTAACCTTTATTTATAAAATTTATTTGCCACCTATCTCATATCCACCAACTCTTGGTGGCTTACAACATAGGAAACATTGAAAAACATTAAAAGTCATCCATCTTAAACAGCACAACAGATAAAAAAATTAATAAAATAAAATCTGGACACAAAATGGCAAAGAGAGGAGCCTGACATATAGGGGATTGGGGGAGGGTTGAATTAATCAACCACTTCCAGTATGAAGTTCCCTCTTTGGGTTTTCCAAGCCGTCTGGCAGAACCAGGTCTTAAGGCTCTTATGAAATGTCAAGAGAGTGGGAGCCTATCTCACCTCAAGGAGTTAGATATTCTAGAGGGCAGGAACCACAAAATGTTGCACCGTCTTAACTGAGACCCACAATGCACAATACATTATCATCATTAACGCAGCATCATGGCATGATATACAAGACCTGCAAATGAATAAGTCTTTAAGTACCAGAGAGATAAAAAGTAAGACACAGTGGATGAAAAAAATTGTGATTTCTTGGGCCAAGCAATGTGTGCCTTATGGTTGCATGGTAAGCAAGTGTCAGATTATAAGCCACACTTTTTCTTTAACAGGCTTCTTCTAGGTTTTGGAATGCGATTTAGAATGTACTTTGGGTGCATTTAGAGTTTCCACTAGAAGGAAAGATGGTTTACATTTGGAATTGTTGGGAGCACACAGGCAGGATAATTTCTCCCCTGAGAAACTTGAAAAGCTAAGCTTTTGGATTTCCACTAGCTGGTACTAAGCTCCTGACACAGAGCCAACCTTGTATTTTGTAGGTTCCAGGTTTCCAGGTTGTCAGCCCAATATTGTTATAAAAAGGCTCTGTTAGGTAAAGGCCCATTTACCTTGAGGCAACTTTGCATGGAAATGACTTCTAAACAAATGCAAAGCATGCACGCACAATGGTTTTATACTGACTCTGCACAAAAAAGACTTGCCAGCCCCCAGTTGCTTAAAGAAACAACTGTGAGCTGCCTAAGGGCTGCAACATCTGCACCACAACAAGAATTCCAAACATTTCACAGTCCAGCAGGCAGTCTCTATTGTCAAAACTGACACCGCTCACCTGTTCACCAGCAAGATCCTCACATGCCCTAGCACATAGGCTCAACTGCCACAAATAAGTTGTCTCCTCAAGAATGTTACTTTGTTCATGCAATTCTGAGCCTCTAATTTCTAATACTGCAACTGTCTTCCTGAGACAAAAACAAGCCAGCAGACAGAGCATTCACGGGGGATGGAAGGGAAGTATTGTCTAAATCTGAAAGATGGCAGCTTCACAATCCAAACCTGCCCGTTTTATACATATGTTCAATATTGCATGGATGTACAAAAGCAACCAGGCTTTTATCACAGGGCTGTGCTCACTGTTTGACACATTTTTATCTCCTTCCTAGGAACACCCATGTCAATACCTTTGTCATTTCTGATAAAATCAGGTTTGCAAGTGGACTTTTATTCCTTGCAAAATAAATCATGATGACTGTCTCCAACTGGTTTTTTTCTTTTCTTTGTTTTTTGACTAGGCAAGTGTCTTAAAACATTTAATGTAAACAATGTAATTCAAAAGTAAGCCCTCAGTCCAATGAATAAGGGTAGAAGTTTATATTAAGCCTAAATGCCTGATAAATCTCAAAAACAAAATTAACCCTAAAAGACACTTAAACCATGTGCCCCCTCCTGTTACGCTGTGCAGCCCCCAGTAGCAATATTCCTCAAAGATTACTCCTCAGTAATCCACATTAAATTACACAAGATTCCTGAATTAATCGATTCCATTCCTGAATTGATCCCTCAATTTAATGGGCCTCAGTTTAACATACTTCAGATTTGTCTGCTGTATTTAAAAGTAGCCTGAATGTTCATGATTATATTGGGACTTCCTTTTTTCAGTAATAATTTTTCAGAAAATATTATTTCTATTTCTCTATCTACTATACAGAACGGTATTTAGGAGGTATAAACAGAGCAATTAAACAAGGAATGGGGTTTCAGTCATTGTGCTTATATCATACGTTGATCAAGTCATGGTTTAGTCATTGAAACCAATTTTCCAAGGTTCACACTCCCTTGCTTGCAGTAATTAAACAAAATGCTTAGGTAGGAAGGCAGATTTACTCATACATATCCTTGCTATACTTCAAGGTCCTCTTCCATTACCTCAGAATTGACAATTGATCCATAATTCCACGCTTACCACGTGGGTCAGGCTTGCAATATTAATTTGTCTTAATCATCTCTATGGTTTATGTCTACTATAACAACTGCCTGTGACATCTCATCATCCACTTTAAGAATGAAGAACTGTGGTAGGTCTTTGGGACTCAAAATGAAGCATTGGGCCAGTATGTAAGGAATACTGCTGGATGGAGGGGGTGATTTCTTTGCTGTACAAGGGTTTTGGGGGTTCAAAAATAAATTCCATTTGCCATTTAACAGACAGCCTTAACAGCCACTCTTCCCTCAATCTCCTTAAATTTAGGGTTTACTATATGCTGTACTCAACGTGTCAAAATATCACTTCCCTGCAAATTATGTACACCCCACAATCCGCTACATAGGAAAGCTTCACCCACATGCTTTGTGGCTTAAAAATAATTTGAACTGAGAGCATCTGTAGAAAACAAGCAGCAAAACTAAGGAATAAGCTTTCTTTACTCCTATATAATGACTTTGAATAGAAAAAGAACCAGGAAGCAAGAGTCACATTCATTTAACTTCTTAAAGTTGGACTGCTTGAACTTTTAAAAAATAAAAAGTTCGAATAAAAATATTCTCTGCTTTCGGTCACCGAGACTTATTCTACCTTTTAATTTTTAAAAAAGCAAATATTCTCTTTCCCTCTCTTTCTAAAATTTTATTAAGAACATAAAAGAGACTGAGATTGCCATTCAGAGGCAAATGGCTTAGCTTGATATGTCAATCTGATTTTAACCCCTGAAAAACTTTGGTTAACAAATCCAGGGCTGGCTCTAGGCAAGGCCAAGTAGAGTCTCCATGGATTTATAATGAATAGATGGAACATTTCAAGATGCGGGCAAGAAATTCTGCTTGGCAAGTACCCTCTCACATCCCAGTTCTCTCTCTCCTTCACCCTCATCCTGTTTGAGGACAGAAATAAGAGGTTGAAATCTGGAGCTTGAAATCATATGTGTAAAACTAGAGAAAGAAAGGAAGGAAGGAAGGAAGGAAGGAAGGAAGGAAGGAAGGAAGGAAGGAAGGAAGGAAGGAAGGAAGGAAGGAAGGAAGGAAGACACATTTTGAAATTCCTAACAAAATCAGAAGATGAGCTGAACTATAGGGAGTGCCAGTATATGACTTTGCTTAGGGTGCCAAATTGTATAGAGCTGGCCCTGGGCAAGTTATAAGTGTGATTAATACATTAATCTGCCCAAACAGATTTAGTTTGATATGAAGGAACCTCAGATTTTTATATTCACGTCTCTTCCTTCTCCTGGGAAGAAAAAAGAATTCTGAAGTTTTGTTTTAGTACAGGTTTTTGTGTTGTCTGGGATGGAAAACTGAGCCTGATGTAAAATAAGAATGATTTGAGTGTAAAGTGTAAATTAATATAAAATCAGTTATGATTATCTATAATTCCAAGTCTAAACAACATGACAAACTTCAGTAAATGAAAAGCAGAAACTACCAATTTCCTTTTTTCTTCCATGAGTGAGTAGCATTCAGAAGACTCATTGCTATACATTCACGCTACACTAAATTATGATTTAGCTTTTCCGTGATCACGCAATTCACATTTCTGCCTCTATTTGTGAGCTATAGTCTATCATCTGTGAAACTTGCCTGAGTTGTCCTAATTATAGGATATGTGGTTAATATTATTTTAGCATTGAAGCAAAAATATTCCTCCGAAGTTAAAATAAAACAGTGGGTGTTTATGTTCTTGGAGCAGCATGAAAGATGTCTTACATCTGTTTACACAGCTACAAAATTTCAGTAATAATTCAGAAAAGGTCTTTCAAAATGCAGAGCAGTGCCAATGCAGCGTCTATTTGTTACCCTTGAAAACAGCTGCATCTTTTTTCCTGAGATTGCATTAGTGCGCTCTGTAGCTACAAACGCTCCATTTGAGCTCCTTAAGGACATTTATTTATTTATTTATTTATTTATTTATTACTCAAATATGAAGCGTTGTACAGGCTGACTACTTAAGAAAGAAAAAAGATAGTGTATAGTGTCAAAAAATTACTTTGCTGTGAGTAAACATCTTAGTAAGGTCATAGGTCAGAAGGAGGTGAGTTGGGGTTCAAAGATCATATAGAACAAAGGTCCCCAACCTTTTGGGCACCAGGGACCAGTTCTGTGGAGAGAAGTTTTTCCGCCGACCGGAGGGTGCGTGGTTTTGTGTGCTGCCTGAATCCCGCGGATGAGACTTTGCTTGTTTGTGCAGACCAGTTGCTGGTATGCCACGTCCTGATACTGGTCCACGGACCGGGGGGTTGGGGACCCCTAATATAGAAGACTCCTTGGGAGGCTGAGAGGTTGCAGTGTGAATGGAACTATTCACTTATGTATTTATCAATCATATTTAAAAACTGTCCATCTCCTTCATAGATCGACTCAGGTATGCAGATAGACATAAAAACATATGCTATATATAAACATAATAAAAACTATTATAAACAGCAATAAAATAGTACACAAATGTATACAATTTTATTATTAAAATGGGCAGGGTTT